TCAAGAACATCAAGGACATCCCACATTACATCAGTTCTGATGGAGCTACTTTTGTCGGTGAAATACAGGATAGATTTTAAAGTCTTGTGTCCAACCTACCAGTGTTTCTATGGACAGGCACCAACGTATCTATGCAACCTGATACAGTCCTACAAACCAAACAGGGTTCTACGGTCACAGGACTCACAGCAGCTGGTATACACTAACAGCTAGTCTCTGAAATGAACATATTTTACAGAAAAAGCAGCTCATAGTCAAAAAATAAAATATTACGAAAATCAGCTCAGGCCCTTGCCCCATCTACACGCAGCCCAGACAGCGAATGGGACTTCTCCCAGGAAACACTGTCTAGTGGAACATACCAAGACTGCCCAACACTTCAGCCTTCTGCATTACCCAGAGTGCCAGAAGGATTGTGCTCCCGGTGGAGAACCCGGGCACTCTCCTGATCTGCGCCAAGAGATCAGGAGGTACCAAACCAAGGGCACCGAGAACAAAGGGGAGCCTGACGACAGTGTACTTGGGATGCAGGCGAGACATTTCAAAGGCGAGGTCTGCATATTTAGCATGCCTTTCTTGAATCTTGCCAATCACATTGCTGTCAAAAGGGACAATGATATAAATGAATTCATTGACTTTATCAAAAAGGACAAGTATTATTATTATTAACCCCAAGGTTTATTCATGGGCACATCTTAATATTGAAACTGTAATTAACAGGACAGGATTATTGTGTTTACTCCTATTCAACCGACCTTGACCTCGTATGACATCACAACCAGTGACCGAATTTTCACCAAATGGCTTGTTTGCTGGCATTGGTACGCATGATTTGCGAGAGTCCTTTCCTTGATTGAGGAAACGTTTGTACATACATTTGTGATGTAAGTCACAGAAACATTCTGACTATCTACGTATTGTTATTTGTATTTATTGTTTTCACTGGAACAATGACAAATGACAAAATTCACCGTTGTTGTTGTGTGTGATTTTGCGTCAGTCATGGCGTCACGCAGGAAAACTTTCTCAATTTCGTCTGAATTTATCATATCATAGTATTGTATATACTTCTAATTTCCTATTTATTGCTGCGATATTCTTTCCCAACATATTCTAAGCTTAGCGCATACCCGAAGTGTTTCAGTCAATCAGATGGCTAGTTTTCCCTCGCACCAAATCCCATGGTGTGACTTGCTCCATGGTGAAGCACGCGATTTGAGTTGAGGAATACTAGCCAACTTGCTCCTTCCATCGACAACTGTCGCATGCGGTGTTTTCGTTGTTTGCCGAACTGGTTTTAATCACAAGTTGATCGTAGGATATTCGTAAAGAGTGTTAAAATTTACGTGATCCTCGAGAACGAGAAAATGTTTTACATAAACAATAAACTCAAGTTGTTAAATAATCAGCCATCGAAGGACTGTAAAATAACTAGAGTATCACAGATGGAGTTCAAAACTAGCATGTATATGTAAAACTATTTTATTTATGAAGACAATACAATATAAAACGGGCTATAGGTCGCCAACAACTGAAGGTAGATCACAAGACTAGGGACCATGGGGACTTGAGTGCTTTTGCTACCTGCATGGACCCTAGTTGGATTTACACCATCCCTTCAGCCGCTGGCGATTGTAGGAAAAGATAGCCGACAGTTAAAATAACAAAAATACTACGTTTTAAAAATCTGATAAGGCTAAATTTAACTTTGAAGGTTTTGGGACTTACGTACGCTCTCTGGAGGACAATAATTTATTCGTAAAGAGCGCCCCAAGGGACATAACATTATGGGATTCTCTTGAAATAATGTTCGGCCGGTAGAGGACGCGAGTCTTCGATTTAATGCAACATTGTATTAATTCAAGCGAACTTTTTAATTTAATATTGTAATCTTAATATATGTACGTAATGTGTTTTTAATAAATTATATGGTAGCTACCTACTGTAAGTACTATTGAGAGAAATGCATGATATATTTTAAAATATTTTCAGAATAGTGTGGTGTGATATAGTGCCAATAAGATACACTGTAACACTATCGAATTTTTTATCTATTTAGGACATTATTCAAATGGTACAACCAGTCATTTCATGTTCTGTCAGAAGCATGTCAAATTCTGAAATATAAACCGAGAACGGAAATTAGGTGAGATAAGTACTAATAAACATACGTCTTTCTCCGACGTTGCCAAATACATATAACAAGCCATGACGTCAAACGAAGTGGTGTAAATTTTTTATTAATTTTATCACACTTGATGGTACAGCTGGCACTCTGTTAATCATAGTGCAACATTAGTCAAAATACATCTTAGCGATCAAGAGAGTATAAATCTAAGAATTATCGTACATAATTATCTTGAAACGTATCCGGTTACAGAGTGGATTTTTGTATTGGAAAAGTTTAGTTCACTGTAAACAAAACATCAAGAAAATATATAATGTCCATATCCACAGCACAATCTCTGACATGGTGTTAGGCTTAACGGAGTTATGCCCCCTTATCTGTATCGCCAGTCGTCTCTCTGTTGTAATTTGACGTCATTTATGAAGATATAACGTTATACATAAGCATACAAATCTCTTTCATATATTGTTATCTCGTTCAGGCAGTATTGCATTCGCTCACAGATTTCTTCAAAATGACAAATAAGTAAGACAAGTAAGTCGCACTGTGCTTTTTCGGTGTACGATAAAAAGCGGCGAAATTTACAGTAACTTTACGCATAACAAAACATTGTCTACTTTCCAAACCTCCTAAGTATTTGTACTTGAATTGACATCATCGGATAGGAAATTCAATATTTTACATTTCCGTGTAATGTTATAGTCGTAGATAGATCCAGTGCCGAGAGAACGCAATTCTCGCGGGCGAGCAGTTTTAAGAACCTATGAAATGTGCGTCAGAAAACAACTCTGCATCCAGGGGTTTACGTCAGTGTATATATCGCTCATTCATAGTTTGCCTCTGCATCCACAGGGGCTTACGTTAGTGTATATATCGCTCATTCATAGTCTGCCTCTGCATCCACAGGGGCTTACGTTAGTGTATATATCGCTCATTCATAGTCTGCCTCTGCATCCAGGGGCTTACGTTAGTGTATGTATCGCTCATTCATAGTCTGCCTCTGCATCCAAGGGCTTACGTTAGTGTATATATCGCTCATTCATAGTCTGCCTCTGCATCCACAGGGGCTTACGTTAGTGTATATATCGCTCATTCATAGTCTGCCTCTGCATCCACAGGGGCTTACGTTAGTGTATATATCGCTCATTCATAGTCTGCCTCTGCATCCAGGGGCTTACGTTAGTGTATGTATCGCATTCATAGTCTGCCTCTGCATCCAGGGGCTTACGTTAGTGTATATATCGCTCATTCATAGTCTGCCTCTGCATCCAGGGGCTTACGTTAGTGAATTATCGCTCATTCATAGTCTGCCTCTGCATCCAGAGACTCACGTTAGTGTATATATCGCTCATTCATAGTCTGCCTCTGCATCCAGGGGCTTACGTTAGTGAATTATCGCTCATCCATAGTTTACAATGTTATTTCATAGATAACAAAACCCCACCACCAACCCGATACAACATGGTACATGTGGTACATGTATATCAAATTCACCGTACAGTTACATCCGGAAACCATTAACTTATATATATTTTATTGCGGGTGACGTAGTTCATCCATATATTCTTATCCTTCCTAAAAGAATACAGTTTATGCTTGTGAAATGTCTTGGGGGCAACACCATGGACGAAATATGCAGTGATGTAATTAGCATATTTCCTCTATATTTTAAGTTACTGGTTGAAAATACATAATATGCTGTCAAAATACCACTGACAATAGACACGGAAAATATTAAAAATAGTAACTCAAATTTCCATACGGTACTATTTGGTAGCTGCAATCTGTAGACATTCCTGGTACGTTTTCAAACCGTTGTGATCGGACCCTGAAAGACATGTACGTCTAAAAGTGGTTTGATTCGTCATCTTCCTCCGCAATGCTAACTGTTATCTAATCACTAAACTTAGGGGGCGGTGGGGTAGTCTAGTGGTTAATTATAAAGCGTTCGCTCGTCATGACGAAGACCCGGGTTCGATTCCCCACATGGGTGCAATGTGTGTAGCCCATTTCTGGTGTCCTCCGCCATGATATTGCTGGAATATTGCTAAAAGCGGCGTAAAACCAAACTCACTCACTCACTCACTCACATGCGCTTGCCATTGAAACGGACGGACATTTAGACACCTTAATGGAACAGAGACTTTGTAGATAGTGTAAACTGGCTTAGATATAGTTGAATATCCCTTCCGACCTGTACATAGAGTTATAACGGTATTAGCAATAATACACACATATATTGTAAATTATGACGTTGTATAATTAGAAATGAAACCATGTACATATTCAATGCAATGAATTTTAGAAATGTAAAAATTAATTAATATGCAACACAACCCAGATTCTGTGCTATAGAACTATGGCCTCATCGGTATTATCAATAAAGAATTTTGTCTCGGAGTTAGTGATGCGTGTCTAAGTAGGCTATCCATGTGTAACTATGGGTGGTATCTGAGTAATCTAGCTCTGTAAAACCGTGAAACCAGTAAGTCGTAGTTTATAAGTTTCCTATTGATCTTTCATTAACTTGGTGCATGTGCACTGACTGAATAGCAACGGGGCTTTATCATAAGTTTCTTATCTCGTAATTCACTTGCAAGCCACATTAACAGCTTATGGATTACACGCGCCGACCCCCACCTCACCCCACACACTACCAAACATGTCGACCATAGCGTGCACACACTCTGTCGGGTGAAGCTTGATGAACCTTTTGTTGTGATATTGATTTGCGTTGCTAATTATAGTAATCTATGCGGTTTTTACACACACATACCGCACAGATATATAACCAGTTCGGTTATGAAACAACCAATGACAAGACAATAAGCAAGTCTACCTGCAATCACGATACATGACGTCACAGCTGATAAAGGAGTATGTCCTGCGCTCACATGACACCCGCACACCTATAGTCGTCTCGTAGGGTACAGGGAGACGGGAACACGCTAACTCTCCATACCTCTTGTACAAGACGGGTCCTCATACTAAACTTAAACCGATTTGCTCAATACCAGGTACGACCGATATTACAAGTAAGTCAGCATTCATCTTGAACTTTGAACACATGACAGTGTGAACCGACTCCAGAGTCGACGGTGTTGTATTTTCATGCTATACATGGAACACACCGATGTTATTCTGGTATGAGATAAGTCAGTTTATTTCTTTAATACTTTCAGATTGATATTCCAAGGGCGGGCATTGCTCTAAGCATTGGAATCCGGGTGGAGCCAGGCGGACGGAATGGGGTTCTTCAAACAACTCGGCTTATTAATGTGGAAAAACTGGTTGCTGCAGAAACGGAAAGTGTGTGTGACGGTTTTTGAAATAATTCTCCCCCTATTGTTCGCTGTCCTGCTTCTTGTTGTGAGGTTCCTGATTGAAACCGACCCCATAGACGCTCCAACCGTTTATTCCGATTTTAGTGTGGATTCCAATGGAACTCGGTTCGTGGGACAGAACACTGGGAGATTGGTGTTGTTTACACCTAACTCTACAGTCATCAACGCTTTAATGGATGACGTACAGCTGACTATGAACCAGTCTATAGCAGGTAAGCGAATTTGATATGTGTTGTTTTCAGTGATCGTTTGTCATGCTCTTTATAAGGCCACGTGAAATACATTTCTGGTTTCTCATCCCTTATTAAAAAAAATTGGTAGGTAGGGCGGATTTTATTTTTATTTTTTAAGATTATTTTTTTCTGAATATCTCTACAATCTTAGTCGAAAACTTGGAATGCCGGAAGCTGAGAAGTCGTCCGGCTTTATAAACGTACATTTACCAGTGCAAAAAATTAAAAATGATTTCGGGTCGGGCGGTAATGCGAAGCGATAAATTACTTTTATTTGGCCTAACAAGCCCACGACAGAACAGAACAGAACTTTATTGCTTTCAGGCCGTAAGACAACGGCATATGAAGATCACAGTGATTATTCAAATGTATACAGTTTGGTGACATGGTAATGCGAAACGAGAAATTACTTTTATGTGGCCTAACAAGCCCACGACACCATGTGCAGAATTGGCGTATAATATTTTAATCGAAATGTACACGCCTAATGATGTAGTGTTGTGCCCCTCGTAAAAGTTAAAGTGATACTTTAAATGGTCTTCAGTGGTAAAAAATATATACCTGTAATGTTTGGTTGTGTTGTACACAGGTGTGTTGTATGTCAAAGAGAAACAATCAGAAATTCCGTGTGGGCTACTACTCTCCTTTCACATACAATTGAGTTTCCTCTTGAGGAGGACATAAACATTTAAATCAACATTCAGTAAGGAGGAAGTGAAAATCAAACCAACATGCATGCTACCCGTAAATAACGCGTGTCGTGACAGTGTGAGTCTTATTGTTGTCAGAACAAAAGAGAGAAAAAAAACGTTTCAGTATGAAAGCCAAGAGATATAAGTAACGCAGATCGACGGACTGAAACACCAGTTATACCATGTAACTTTCCTCCATAATCTTCTTATAGATTGTAGCTCGTGTGTAAAATCACCACACAAATATAGGTTCCTGGTTATGTGAGTGAGTGAGTATGGTTTTACGCCGCTTTTAGCAATATTCCAGCAATATCACGGGGTTGGGGGACACCAGAAATGACCTTCACACACTGTGCCCATTTGGGGAATCGAACCCGGTCTTCGGCGTGACCAGCGAACGCTTTAACCACTAGACTACCCCATCGCACCTCCCTGTTATGTAATGCATAGACGATATATAGTGCAAGATTACACAAACATTGTGATTCTTTCCAAGTTTAGAATAAGTGATACAGTATCAATTACTGAAAATATCTAAAAGGTTTGTATACATTTTATTGTAATGAACGCCTGAAGAATTCTTTCAGTTTCGTTACTGAATTAAAAAACAAAAATAATCGCCAGTACCAGGTAGGAGCACACTATTAAGAAGAAATCTGAAAATGCTTTTTACATTTTGCGTGTAATTGTTATGTAGATATGCCAGTGGCAAAGTGCAAGTATTGTTTTTTAACAGTAATTCATTTTCATTACCCTGAAATAGGTTTGGAAATCCTGAATAAGTGAATGATCATTGTCGACTGCTGGATTATGTTTGGATTCTATTCAGTTTGATAAGGCAGAGAGGATATCTGACATTTTTCTAAGAATATCCTCTCATTTCGTATTGTTAATGTTTGTCTGGAAACCATTGTGCCACCTAGGTAAATTGAAAGTAGTTTCTCCACAATGTGGCGTTTTACTCAACATAGAAAAATATGATTTATTTAATTTGCAGATAACAAGAATATTTTATCACCAATTCCTTCATAGTATATGTGAATAAACACGAATTCTTGTCTACTGCAAACATATCTATCTTTGTCAGGAATATGGCATTCATAGCCAGTGAAGTAGTTACTGTCGTTTATTTCCCCACGATGATGTGGTGTGATGACTGTCAGTCGAGGGTTCAGAATTACATTTGTGGAAAAGTCTATTTGTTTTGTGTTTAGTGATTAAATATTGTATTTATGTGAAAACAAATAGCATTGATAACCCACGCACCAACATTCATTCTGCCTCACAGAGGTTTTCAGAGACAGACCATGACAAGCATAGTGAAAGGCATCTGCGTTTTCTTGTCAAACCGACAGTTACCATTTTCACTCAAAACTCAGATCGCTCAATATAACAAGAAATGATGTCTCGCGACAAGAATGTACTCATATCCTCTGTCGTTTGGTAAAACACAAAAGCAGAAATAAACATGTGTATCGGGTTATCTGTGTTCTGTTCGTCTGGACAACACGCCATGTCCGCCTGCCCGGTTTTGTCGTCTCATGTTCACGTTTATTACCCTTTTACCACCCAGGAAGTCATATATCACCGTTACCGGAGTGATCACAATACACCCAGCCAGCCTTGTGTAGTCTCATTAACAGGTTAAGGCTGTTCTGCCATACGTCAGAAAGACCATGTACAGATTGGCCACTAAAGGTGAAAAATGGCCAATACATCCAAGTGACAGCCACAACGAAAATGGCAAATACCGAGCCACAAACACAAATTAATAACTTAAAATGTCACGTGTATATTCTAAATGCATTATATGTTTTCACAACAAATATGTTTAAGAGTAACCATAAATAAGCATATATTGCCTACACTTCGGGGCAGAGTTTCATGATCAGTGGTCTGATTACAGTTTAACTGTCATGGTGACGTATAGCAATTCAGACGGACTGAAAATTCCAGAATTGAAATACCAAGTGTACAAATTAAAAGAAACACTGTTTATACTTTATACTTATGACCATGCATGGAGATCCGGGTTAGAATTGGTCTTCAGTAACCCATGCTTGTCGTAAGAGGCGACTAACGGGAACGGGTGGTCAAGCTCGCCGACTTGGTTGACACATGTCATCGTATCTCAATTGTGCAGATCGATGCTTATGCTGTTGATCACTGGATTGTCTGGTCCAGACTCGAATATTGACAGACCGCCGTCTATAGCTTGAATCTTGCTGAGTGCGATGTTAAGCAACGACCAAGCCAAACTTTACACTTTTCATGTGTTCATTTTGGCTATTGGTGTGGCCATTTGAATAAGGTTCGCTGGCATTTTAATTATGGATTATGTCCCTCCAGACTTTATGATATGGTCTTTTGCCAAGAGTGTCTGGAGCCCTGTTGACTCGTTCATTTACAAACCCTATAAAACCTAAGTGCTCTCCACTGAATCATAAACTCCAAAGACGGGATCCATGTCAAATAATAGGACTGTTCAGTTGTTATATGACGTCAGAATGTATAGTTTTGTGTGTCGGTAATGGGCAGGATATATTTGAATCTAACAAGGAAACGGAACGAACACGACGACAGCGGAAACTATCAGGAGGAAGTGATGTCGACACTAAGATAATGAACAGTAGTCTTGAGGTCCAGCACTGACAATGGAATGCCCGTTACTTAACGTGATATGGTAAAAGGACGTGTTGGGATAATGGCCAACCTATATTCTTAGGGAAATAGTTTATGGCCTCTCTGCTTGCTCTCTAATGAAATACACACTGACATTATTCTTAGAACGTCGTGGCATTGTGGGTGTAGCCTCGAGGGGCATTGTGAATGTATCAATATATTTCAGACATATGCGCTTTTTACCTTGTAAATACATTTTTCATATGTTTTTCTTTGAAAGGGTATGATCACGTGTGTATCCCGAGTTAGAATAGGTTCCCGAGCTACCCTGCTTGTGAGTGGTGACACAATGGATCGGATGGTCAGTGTGGGTGACTTGGTAGATTGCGGCTTATCGTAAATCGCCGTCGTGCTTTGTTGTTCACAATATCAATCACTTGATTGTCTGCTCCAGTCTTCATATTGGTGGAATACTGATGTGGCAAAATGTCATTTCTTGATTTACTGATGTATCTTTTTTGTTACTCATAAAGAACCGATTTACAAATATTACGTTCAGGTGTCCATATCACAATATATGTGCATTTTAATTCTAACTGAATGTGAAGAAGATTTTTCTGACCATATTTTTTTGTCTATTGTCATCAATAACGAGCAAAACAAACGAATGCATATGTCAATGGATAAAATTAACCAACAAATGTTTGCCAAAGTAGTATGTGACCATTTTTAGGGTATTGTGCAAGGTACTACATTGTGTATTACGACGGTACACAGAAACAGATTCACGTGACAAAATGTGCCCCACAACTTTATGGGTGTTGTAAAGATATCCGACAATCAATCCATAAATATTGTCAGGCAGTGACAAACGTTGACCAACCCTGATAAGACAATATTTCCCAAATACCTGTGGTTAACTAAGCTTATTGACCCGTCTCCTGAAAAGTTGCATTGGTAGCAGCATACTGCACCAACTGTAGAAATGTATAGTGGTTGAAGGCGCCGCAATTAGCTGTGGAGTTTCATCCCTTGGCTGCGTCAACAGTCGGTAGTCGTTGATTGAATCCTAAATTCATTCCCTTTTATAATATACTCTCCCACAAAAGAAACGCATATAGGAATTTCAACTGTATTTTATGTTTATGAGTCAATGAAATATAGCGAAATTGCACACTGGGAATGCAGCTGCAGACTTATCCGTCTTTGGCACCAACTCGAGGAAAGTCAGTTTGAGTGTCACATGGAGACGTGTGGTGGCAACTGCACGTTGAGACTGGCCAGCTTCTAGCAAACCAATGGCGATATGACGGTTGGCTTCACTTAGACGTGGCATTTTGCTTTCGTCAACAATATTCCATATACAGTGAATAATCGACAGACAGCGATCAACCTTTTATACCCATCATTGAGACCATCTGATCCCCAACTTTCACGTGTATTGCATGTGAATTGTGTATTCTGTGACACTACACGCCGAAATTGAAAATCATGCTGTTAAATACGGGTATTTTACGGATGGTGCGTTTTGTTGTGATGTTTCAAAACATAAACACCATAAGACACATAAACAGAGCAAAACCTTTTGTAAAATGAATCACGTTTTAATTCATTGCTTCATGAAATTGCTATTTTCAAGATGCGTTTCTTTTTTGGGAGAGTATA